AAGTTAATGCGCCGCAACGGCAAGTAGTAACTGCAAGGCAAAGGCAATATCCCCGGCAAAGCTTCTTCCGTTCGCAAAAAAAAGAAGAAAAAAAGAAAAATTACATCGTCAACGTAACGGAGAAGGGCTTAACCAGTCTCGCGGGAGCCTCGCCTGTTAATGGTATGTACCATGCGGTCGAAAAAAAAAGAAAGGGCAGAATGGAAAAGCGAGGGGGGGGAAGGGATGGGAACACGCGGGGCGGAGAGAAACGGAAAGAGCGCGGCCGGAGAGAGGGGAGATCGAACGCGCTCGAATTGAAAGCAATCCGCGGGATCTATAACCAGCCGAGCCGAGGACTAAAACCACCGACGGTGAAAAGTACGTGATCAACGCCGTCGGGCCGCGAGAGGTTCCATAATTAAAAGCGCCGCTGGATCGAGGGGGTGGCGATTATCGGGCGGCAAACACCGATTTTCGCGGGATGACGGCACGAACGGAAGGGCGTGGGACTGCGGGGCGCTGTGGGTGGCTCTGGCTGGTTAGAGGGCGAGGGAGGGCTCGCTGGGAACGGGAGAGAACGACGCAGGCATTTTCGCGCGAAAATGGCACGTAGCTTCCCCAGAGGAAAGCGGCCGCGGCTCCGTGATGGAAAACGCGTTACGATGGAGTGGCACGCAAACCCGGAATGGATCGTATGGGGAAGAGTTCCACTGCATTAACCACCGGCAACCTATCACCGCGGAACCATTCGCTCGACAAACAGTCCCCGCCCCTCGCGCCAGCCCCGCGCCTTTTCGCCGAGCCGAGCCACCCACGAGTCTGTCTTCGAAACGGACCGGCTCCGCTCCGCTCGGCTCGGCTCGGCTCGGTCGAGCTTTCATCAGCGGCCAAGGAGCCTCGAGAGCCCGCGGCAAGACGCCGGGGAAAAAAGAGAACACACCTACGGGGCGCGGAGGGGGGGCCACGAGTTTTCCAATTCTTCTCCCACACCCCGGTCGATTCAATTAGGTCTGAAGAGGCGAGTCTGCGCTCGGCTAATTTCGTCGCGAGGATTTCCCGCGTTTAACCTTCGGCTGTGATCGATAAAGTGCAGCGCTCGCTGCTTGGGCAAGGATGTCTTCGTCCATGGAACGTTGGATTTCGCGAAATCCAACGCGTTACCTGGCAGCGTCGCATTTATTGCGTTCGAAAATTTGTTTAATGCATCGAAACGTATAAATTGGTGAGGTGTCTTGTTTTGACAATGTGGAATGTAATAGTTAGCGAAGGAAGCTTGAGTACGATTCTAACTTTTGTAAAATGGAAATGAGAATTTGCATGAAAATACGCAGCGTTTTCATTAGCGTATACAGTTATGTTTGTTGTAATTATCGTATTAAATGCAGCATCGTGTTCTCTTGTAAGAAGTGATAAAAATGTCGTCGAAGAGGAGCTATAAATTCAGTGTAATTTTGCAACAGTGTAATTTTCTAACACGTGATAAAAATGTCGCCGACAAGAAGCTATAAATAAACAAGAGAACAATGTCAGTGGCAACAGTGTAATTTTCTAGGAGAAAGAGAAAACGCTGCTATTAGACGAAAATCAACGATATAGACTCGTTAGACTTGTTCAAAGTTAAGCAATGCTTTAATATGAATCCAGTTTTTTGTCAGAGTTCGCTTAAAAATCGTTTTGGAAGAGAATGCAGAGTAACGGGCACGGCGTATAATTTTCTATCATTATGTAAAAGATGAGAAACTAAAAGATGACGTCAACAACAGTTTAACAACGTTAATAATTAAGCAATCATTTGTCGTCGGAACACTTTTCGAGAAATAATTCTATTAACAGTGAGGTTAACAGTTTAACCAGCGAGATGCTGTCCGCGAGACAATTTCGTTCGGAAATTTTTAGCCCATTGGTAATTGCGATTTAACTCGATGCGCGTGAAGCGTGTTAGTATCATTTGGATCCTGCTGAAATTTAAACGGATTTTGTTAACCGGCCCGCATATTTCGCGGCAATTTCCGGCAGAAGTAAACCCGCGGTTATAATCATATTTTCGCGATGGAGGCGTATCAATTAATTTCATACCACCGATTTGCGTATATTTCGGCCGAGCTATGGATAAAATTGATTTCGATCTAGCACTCGAATTTGTTCGCTAAATATTAATGTATAGATTAACATGACACGCCGCGGTTCGTCGAGTTATCGCTTAACATTTCTTTCTCTTCGTTGCTCGGGACTCGAATTTCAAATTGCCAAAATGTGATGTTATTGGCCGAGCTGCCATTTGCACGTAATCATAATATTTTGCATTCATTCCTTGCTTTGATACAGTTAAATGGAAATTAGTAAAAAACCAAATCGCAAAGTATTCGCCAGATTGCGAACTTGAATGCGAAATAAAAATTCTATCGACTGTACGAAAATATATAAATTACTTGAATACATCAAGGACGCAAAAGTAAGAGAAGAAATATACTTGCAACAATAACATGAAGTCGCTAATAATCATATCAGCTGATGCGAGGATGAACCAAAAGAAAAAAAAAGACAGAAAAGGAGTTAAGCAAAGATGTCTACCTTCGGTTAACAGAGAGAGAAATAGCATAACGAAATTCTTAAATTGTTCCAATGTCACTCTGTGCTTCATTTATCCGGTTTCCCGTAAATGCGTAAAATCCGCAGTCTATTAATTACGGTAAAAAAAAAACCACCTGGACCTTAATACGCTCGAAGAAAGTTCATCCTTCTCAATATACAGGGTGTCCCAGGTTTTAACGTTCAAACTTTGTCAGTATATTCTATGGCACAAAGTAAGAAAAAAATATTATGTAAACATAGGTAGTATAGAGCTTTATTAAGAAGTTATAACAAAAATTCACACTCAACTTAAAAAAAAATAAAAAATAAAAAAAAACTTCGATCGATGTCAATCATGTATTGTCAACAACGGTTATTAATACATTTCGAAATGTATTAATAAACACAGCTTACATAAACACACGGCGCGTGCTGATCTATTCAAGCCAATGCTCGCAGTAACAGCAAGTTGATTACTATTCCTATTCTGAATTTTTGTTATAACTTCTTAATAAAGCTCTATATGACCTATGTTTACATTTTCTTACTTTGTGCCATAGAATACACTAACAAAGTATGAACATTAAAACCTGGGGCACCCTGTATATTCGAATTGTAACGCGGCAATATAAAAGACAAGAATGTCCAACATTTCCCCATAACTCAATTACCAGACAGCGACGATAATTAATGAAATTACGATGACACGTAGTTCATCGCTATTAAACCCGCGGCCGAATCGCCGCTGCAACGTACATTCTTAAACGCATATAACCGGATTACATTTCTCCCGAAGCCGTTGACCACGGATCCTCGATACGTCGAATGGACGAAATCCGTCACACGAAACCGGCCGAATCTTCGTCGACGGCAGGGTCCAGCGGTGTGGAAGACGGCGTGTCAGACGTAATTGAAACCGTCGTTCGCGGCCAGATGTCATTAAACGTCGCGACGAAGTGTCTTAAACGTTTCATACCGCGGCGGGTTCGTTAACCGCTGCCGCGAGTTACTGCCCCCGCCGGAACGAGACGGGCAGAGTCTTCCTTAAAATCGTTTAAACGGTATAATGGATATTACGCGAGGCAGAACGGTGGCCCGGGTCTTCGCCGGCGAGAAAAAGGAACGATTATTATGTAGCCGGGGAATTGAATTAGACGGGCAATCTCCAAGCAGTTCTGTAACAACGCGCGCTGCTGCGACGACGATTTAACGAGGCGATCCCATTTCGCGCCGTTTACGAACGGAACGAGTGTGTTCACGTTGGCCATTGCCGGGGCCATTTTTCCGCATCTCGTCACGAAATCGCAACGCATTCAACGGTTCAGCAATGGCCGGACGCGGCTGGAATCGCTGCACGCCGCGATGGAAAGCCATTCATTCTTCCGAAAGTTTCGCGGTTTACACAAATTTTCTGGATACAGCAATCGACGAACCTTTCACGTTCGAAGGTGCAAAATATTAGCCGCTTTAGGGAATTCTGCGGCTATAAGGAGAAACGTCGCAAGTCGCAATTGCGACAAATTTAAGTCGACGCATTCGTTTAGAATTTAAGTATTTATCAGAGAGAACATCGTGGAAACAAATTCTATACAGGGTGTACGCGTTAAGTTTTGTCCCCATTGTTTAGATCGGTGCTCGGAACGCTCGGGCAAGCAACACGAGGCTCCGCCTCCCGACTATCTCCCCAGCGTCACGCTCTTCTCATTGGCTCCATTGGCTTGCGGATGGAAGCAACGCGGGGAGCGAGACGCTGCGGCGGTAGTCAGGAGGTGGAGCCTTATGTTGCGTGCCCAAGAATTCTGAGCACTGATTTAGACATTTTCGGCAGCGCGATTCAAAAATGTTTCAGACACAATTTTATCAGTATTCAGTTGGCTGCATGTTCGCATGTTCATAAATCTCAAACTATGCTTTTCAAGTAAAACAGAAGTGAAAGTCTAATAAAATAATAATAATGATAATGATAAAATAAAATAATAATGATGACGATAATAATAAAATAAAATAATAATGATGACGATAATAATAAAATAAAATAATAATGATGACGATAATAATAAAATAAAATAATAATGATGACGATAATAATAAAATAATGAATCCGTGCTTAAAAGTATCTTGCAATAAAATAGGGAGACCGAAAAAATTACCGATAAATACCGGTAAATATACCAATTTTTACTAGCCTTGCGATTGTATTTTCGCAATCCTTGTAAAAGCATCATGCCTATAGTTTTCAGTACAGTTGCCTATAGTTCTCGCGGTAGAAATTGATATATTTGCCGGTATTAAACGGTCTCCGATTTTAGTATAATTTTCGGGCTACTTTAAAGCGCAGATTTATCATTTCATTATCATTTCTGCGTTTCGGTAGCAATTCCTGTGCCAGCCGACCACGCGATGGTCGCCGCCCGGGCACGCCAAAGCCTAAACAAACGAAGACTCACCGCCCAGCCGCAATTCCGCAATTCCTTGGGCCATCTCGTACTCGTTCCTCACGAAGCACTGGTACATGCCGCGATCCTCCCGTGCAACCGACATCACGGAAATACGCTCCCTGGCAACCGCCCTCACGCGGGCGCCCGTTCTCAATGGCTGACCGTCCTTCAGCCAGTAGAGCGCCGCCTGCGGAAATCCACTTGCGCTGCACGTCTGAAAAGCAGTTTAGAGAAAAGGGACTGATGAGAACCGACCAAGTTTCCGGCGTGCCTCTTCCCCCTTCCCCGAAGCGGAACACCCTCGAATCTCCCGTTCCCTTCAAAAATAAGATTGCTCCGCGTCGAATGATCCCGCCGTGCCCGTCCCGCGTCGAGCTACCCCCGGCCTGGCCGGACAAGAGCAAGACCTCGAGCGGTCCCAGGGTCGTCCCCGAGTTTCCCTGTTCTCCTAAAAATCGGATTATCCCGGCGCCGGGTCGCTCGGCAACGAACAAAAAAATTCACCGGCAAGTTGCCACGATCCACGACGCTCTCGTCTCCGCCGTAATTATTCACGAATTCCCAAGGATTGCTAATCGTTCACTCGAGATGTCTTGCTCCGCGAAGACCGCCGCGACGTCTCTGTCGTGTTCTAGTCTTGAATGGAATCGATTTTGCCGATGTCGATCACTCTTAACCCTTCTACGATGTTTCGAGAACGTGTCACGCGTTCTACGAATTTGAATTGTGGGAAATCGCGTGACACGACAATGTTGACGCGAATAACGGTGAAGTTGTGCATCGAAACGTTTCGCTGCATGTACAGTGGGTACGAAAAGTATTCGGAGAATTTCTGAAACGATAAAAATTTGTTTAAACTGGTCTAAATGTCCTGAATCTTTTTAGAATACTTTTTATTAACTTTTGATATTACTTAGTATGACAAAAAAGGTAAAAAAGATCTCACGTTTTTTCGACTTTCTCGTCTGAGCTTGTAACGAGAATTTAGAGATTTCGATATCTTCCGTATTTTAAAATTTTTTTATTGACTCAGATAAACAAATTGAGAAAACGGTATTTTTTGTCATTAAAAACAAGTGTTTTAGTCTAGTTTTGAAAAGGTTATATTTTTTTAAAAGGGATGTAAGTACATTTTTCACTCACTGTACACAAATTCAACGAAACGAATAATATAACAATTTAATTGAACGAAACCGGAAAGACACTTTTGTAGTGTCGATCGTTAATATCATTGACGAAATCGGAAATATAATTAGCGTCGTATAATAAGAATTATTATTATATCTTTTCGTTCAATAAGAATTATTATTATACAAAAAATTATGAGATTATTATTATTATACGAAGAATTATACGAATTATTATTATACGAAGAATTATACGAATTATTATTATACGAAGAATTATACGAATTATTATTATACGAAGAATTATACGAATTATTATTATACGAAGAATTATACGAATTATTATTATACGAAGAATTATACGAATTATTATTATACGAAGAATTATACGAATTATTATTATACGAAGAATTATACGAATTATTATTATACGAAGAATTATACGAATTATTATTATACGAAGAATTGTAAGAATTATTATTATACGAATAATTATAAGAATTATTATTATACGAAGAATCGTAAGAATTATTATTATACGAAGTGTCATAAGAATTATTATTAAACAAAGAATTATGAGAATTATTATTATACGAAGAATTATAAGAATTATTATTATACGAAGAATCGTAAGAATTATTATTATACGAAGTGTCATAAGAATTATTATTAAACAAAGAATTATGAGAATTATTATTATACGAAGAATTATAAGAATTATTATTATACGAAGAATCGTAAGAATTATTATTACACGAAAAATTATAAGAATTATTAATATACGAAAAATTATACGAACTATTATTATACGAGGAAATATATACGATAAACGACGATAAGAATTATACAATAAAAAGCTCGTATCACAGTACATTTTCCTCGTAATGACGTCAACGCGACCACTAGCATTAGTTTTTCCGAACACCGTAGGAGGATTAATGGAACCGAGATCGAAATGAAAGGAACGCGTGCCGAGGGCGCGTGTTATTCGTAGCCGGCACCGTTTGCCGCGGGTTTTCGCCGCACAACAAAGATAATGGCGATAACAGGGCATACAGTTACAATGCAGAGTATATGGGGTATAACGGCGCGCGAGCTCGGTAACTGACGCAAAGGTAAAACGGCCGAGACAAATGGCCCGGGGCCGGCATTAATTGCTGTTATAAAACCGGAGCCTATCAATCGCGGGCAACCATGAGAATCGTCAATTACCAAATGAGCGGCCTTGCCGAGATCGACGGTCTGGATCGACGGTTGAACGTGCACGCTCAATGGCGCGGACACCGTTAACCTCACTTCCATGGATTCGCTGCCCTCCGAATTACTGGCGGTGCACATGTACGAGCCGGTATCGTTCTCCTGAACACCTTGTATGATCAACGAACCGTCTCGCACCACGTAGTGTCCTGCCGCATCCTCGATCGGCTCCTCCCTCTGGTTCCGGTTGTAGTACCACCTACGACGAACAAGCGGAACAACAAAAATTCGCAATCGAAACGAAGGGAACAAGCAAGCCCTTCGCGTCTACCCCGATCCCCCGACGCCGATATTCTATTGGGTTGGCAACTAAGTAATTGCCGACTTCAGTTATAGAAGTCTCTCACTCCCATTTTTATGATATCCGTAAATGTTATATTATAAAATTATTATTATTATTATGTTATTTTTTATTATAAATATAATAATATAATATAATATATATAAATATAATAAATATAAATATAATATAATATAATATATATAAATATAATAAATATAAATATAATATAATAATAATATAATAATATAATATAATATTATAATAATTTTATTTATTAATGTTAGCAACACTGGACAAATTGAATGCAGCGGTCAAGGAAAAGCGACCAGAATTGGTCAATCGTAAAGGTGTCATTTTCCAGCAGGACTATGCTAGGCCG